GTGACAAAAGTGTCGGGAAGGAGTGTTTGGATTTGCAGGGTAAATGGAGGTATTTACACTTAAGACACCTAGGTAGGAAAATTTGAATGAAAACAATTGCTACTTACTTAGGGAAATCCATTCTCCAAAGGGAAGCTGTTATAAATCAGGGCCCATAAAGTTAGCAGCACTAGGTGTCTTATTTTTAAGTTGTAGCACTGTGACAAGGAGTATTCGATTTGGGGACCGTCAGTTTAATTGAAAATTTGCTGTTTATTTGGGCTCCTGGATTAAATGCACTATACTGTAAAATGTGAGTGAAAAAATTATTTCTCACTCAATTGAAATACTAGAGGTGGAGTCAGTTTCTCCTATACTAGACACTTGTTTTCTAAAACAACTTTTGTTTTCAAGTATGCGGCCATCTACAGTTTGGTTGAAATTTTCCTTAGAGGCAGTATTGATAAGGAGACCCGCGTGTTGGTTCTGGGCTTCACTGTGACTTCTGCAGAGGCGACAGCTTGGTGATCAGGCAGGTGAGATTGTTCAGGAAGGGATTCTAAATGCAGGTGTACCCTTTTCACCCCAAATGCCCAGGTGACCAGGGAACTCCAGCACAAGCACCAAACTGAGACAGGTTGTGAGTCCGAGAAGCACTTCTTTTACTCTTCTATAGTTTTTCATGCTCATCTGCAGCAAGTATCAGGTAATTACTTTATGCTAGACCTTGTGTTACATCCGATAGAGAATGACCTAGAATCTTCTAACAGCATGGTCAAGTAGGTTTTATAATTCAAATTTGGTAGATGATCTAGCCACTTGCTCAAAGTGACTCAGGAAGAAAAGAGAGAGATCTAGATTCCAACCCAGGTCTGTCTGACGTCTAGAATCTTACCACACAGCAATCTCACGTCCCTTATGCATTTTGAAGAACAGGTAACACACACACACACACACACACACACACACACACACACAGCCTAATATGGAGAGGTAGTTTTTTAATATATTTATAAATCAAAGAGGTGGTCTTAAGATACAGTATTGATTGATACGGGGGTGCTAGGGCATACTTGAAGTGACAGATATGTTGTCTGATTTGAAGAGTCTTGGGAAAGTTCCTTCAGCCTTTTTCATCCTTGTTTTGTAGGATGCCATCATTAACAATTTGTTTCATGGCATTAAGGTTTTCCTGTAAACTCAGCACTATTTTAAAAATCCTACTCTCTCTTGGTAAATTAACACATTCTGTTTCGATTACTTTAATACCTACACATTTGTTAGGATGGAGAAGTAGGGCCAAAAAGGATGGTGGTTTGATCTTACCCCGCCCCCCTGAAGTCACCAAGATCATCTCGGCTGGGTTTCATTCAGGACTCTAGCGACTTACTGTCTTTACTTTGACCGGGTCTTCCTTTCCTTACTTACTAAATGAGGTTACTCATATTTATTTTTCTCTCATTTCACTCTTTAACTTCCACAGAAATTCTAACAGTAGGAAGAGTCATTGGGTCCTTTGGTTTTGAGAGTGTGCATTGGGTCGGCTATTGGTTGAATCCAGTAGTGGACGGAATTTGCCTTGGCTCTTCCACACTCATGCTGGACAGATGTGGGGACACTCTTGCCTGGAACTCATGGCTCAGCTCTAATCTCTTATTCAGCATCTTGAACTGTCTTCCAAAAGTTTTCATTCTTAGTTCTAACACTTTCCCAGTCCTTACCCATACAATCTGGGAATTGATCAGTGCCATCTACGTGCAGAGGAGAACAACGAGATCAACCACTTTCTTTTCTTTTTTTTTCCTACTAACTTAATTCCTTGCCTGAATCTCTACTTCTCTATTTTTGGACTAGAATTTTGATAATTAATCTTTATTTACTTTAAAACAGTTACTGTTTTCTTCTGTTTTAAAAGCATTATGTGTTTGTTATTGAAGATTTGGAAAATTTATAAAAATATACAAAGAAAATTGAGTCCCTGCCATTCTGTGATGCAAGGCTAATCACTGTGAGCTTTTTGGGAATATATACATTTTGTTATTTATGGTCAAATAAAACTATATTTACTTTATTTTTAATAAAAGAGGAATTGATTTTTATTCAGTGTTGTTACTTAATTTTTCATGCAGTTTATCTTATTTTCTTATGCCAATAAACATTCTTCAACATTACATTTTAAAATTGTAGGTGCATAAGTGTAATATATGGATGAAACATACTTTGTTGAACTAATCCCTATTTATGGACACTGTTTTCTGTTTCCAATTTTTTGTTATTGTAAATAAAATACAAATGATCATCCTTTCACATTAAGCATTAATTAGTCTTTTCTAGAATTTTACAGTCAAGCTAATCATATTTATTGTAGGGAATTTAGAAAATACAAAAGGGAAACAAATGAAAAGAATCAGTCATAATTTCCATTAAACCATTCACATTCATTGTATATTCTTCCAACCCTTTTCTATAGATTTTGTGTGTGTGTGTGTTTATGTGTGTGTATGGTTACAAAAATGGGAGCCAGTTATTGATTCTCGATGCTATTTACAGATAACACTTTGTCATGCGCTATTCTAAGTGCTTCACATAGGACAATTTATTTAATTAAATCAATATTTAATTCAACAGTCTTATGAAGTAGTTACTCTTGTTATTCCCATTTCATAAGTGAGGAAACTGAGGCACAGAAAGGTTAATTTAGGAAGGGTAGAACCAAAATTCACCGGTAGAGTTTTGCTTTTGGACGCTAGACTCAGGTCCCTAGCTTCAGAGTGAGCCTAGGGCTAGCAGCTGGGAAAGAGAGCCTGACAGCCATGTGATTCTCTGGTGACTTGGATTTCTGGACCGATAGCTTCCAGCCTAGAAGAATGCTTTTGGTCTGCCTTCCCCATTCCCTGAGGAGAGGAGCCCTGTTACATTTACCTGTCCTGTGTTTCTTTTCCTCAGGGCTATGCTCTGCTAATCTGATGAACTAACCTGGGCTAACGAGTAGTATCTCTTGGGTAGAAACATATTTACCTGTGAAAGGGAGCTTCTAGAAACTTCTCCATTGCATAAGTATTTGTGAAACTGGAAAGTTATTTAGGGAAAGTGGATTTTTTTTTCTGGTCTCTGAAATGGCACAATTTAACTGACAAGCCTCTCAAAAGTCTGGTTCTTGTACACACACATAGAAGATTATATTAACACATGAGGCTTCCTTTAAGACTGTCACTTTTTGAATGGCTTTTGCATTCAATTTTCTGCATAAAATTTCATTTTAGTAAGAGGAGTCAGGGATTCTCCTTAAATGGAAGTAGTATCCTAAGAGTAGAAGGGTTTATGCTTAGGAATCTTATTAGAATGTTCAAAGTTGAAAAAAGTGAAGTGAACAATCTTAGGGGCACAACGGGTGTTTCGGGACCTCAGATTATGACAACAAACAAAACAAGCAACGCTAGATTTTCTTAAAGAATAGAGCCTAGGAAATAAATGCTCTTGGCTTATCCTCCTCTACAGTGCTCGTGAGAGATTCATAATGGTCATTTCTGTTTGGCAATTTGTAAATATGAGATAGTCCTTGCTCAGACAAATAAGGAGTATTTCTCTCCAATGATGGATTTGGCCATTTTACACCATAGATAAGGCTGGTAAGCAATAAGCTCGTGGGGAAATTCAAGCAGAACTCCAGTTCCCTTTGCTCTCATTCAATTGTACCTTTGAAGGTCAGCTTTTGGAAAGATCCTGACGTTATATAAAGTCAACAAGATTACAGAATGTCCGTGTAAATTGTTCTCCCAACAACCACCACTTTGTTTTACATTGCCTTTAATTATAACCTTAGGTAGAAAGGCAGGAATTGCCAGGGCTAAGAATTCTTTTGCATTTGCATCACAAAAATCTTAAGATCTTAGGAATTTTCCATTTATTTTTTTACATTCTGGTAAGGTAGCTTCTGCCACACCCACAGGGACCAATATCGATGTTTATCTCTTTTAGTCCTGAAGGAAAAAGCCTCAACATGTACTGGTTCTCTGAGAATGGGGAAATAACATCCAAAGGACAAATTTGAGCAAAACATTTTCATTTTTTGAGGTTGGCGCGGCATTCTGCAATTCCAAGGGAAAACTCACTCATTCCAGTGAATTTATATCTGAAAGCAAAGAAAGGGGATGGAATAAGACTGGCAAAGAATACCCTCATGAAGCTGTACTCCTGCAAATTCAAATTGTTGGAGAGAGGTACTAGTTATGTCATGCAGATAGATAGCCGGTCTATCTGCTACGTAGGTTAAAGTAAGTCCTAGGTCAACCACTGTGTGAATTTCTCATCATCATCATCAACTACCAAAGACAGAGACTTTGTCTCTCCTCCACATCAGAGTACCTATCCTCATCCCTTCTCTCACTCACTAAGTGGAGAATTTCAGATTTTCAGATGCTGAGATATACCCCCCCCCCCCCCCCCCCAACACTGTATTGCCTATTCAATCAGATGCCCTGTGGTCCCAGGACAAGCTCTGACGATGGAACCCAACCAGCTGGCAGTTCCACCTAAGTACACTGCAGGCTAAGTCCCACCTGTCTGACCTTTTAAACTTGCATAGAAATCTCTCTAAGCTCTATCATCTTTTTTAAAAAATATTTATTTATTTATTTATTTAAATTTATTTTTGGCTGCATTGGGTCTTTGTTGCTGCACGTGGGCTTTCTCTACTTGCGGCAAGCAGGGGCTACTCTTCGCTGTGGGGTGCGGGCTTCTCATTGCGGTGGCCTCTCTTGTTGCAGACCATGGGCTCTAGGCACGAAGGCCTCAGTAGTTGTGGCCCATGGGCTCAGTTGTTGTGGCCCGCAGGCTCAGTAGTTGTGGCCCGTGGGCTCAGTTGTTGTGGCCCACGGGCTCAGTAGTTGTGGCTTGCGGGCTCAGTAGTTGTGGCTCACGGGCTTAGGTGCTCTGTGACATGTGGGATCTTCCCAGACCAGGGCTCGAACCCGTGTCCCCTGCACTGGCAGGTGGATTCTTAACCACTGTGCCACCAGGGAAGTCCCTAAGCTCTATCATCTTTGACATTGCTATAAAAAAACCAGTTTTAGTGATTAGATGAACCAAGCAGAATAGCAGTCTGGGATACGTGGCACAGCTATATTCTTGACCCATATTTTAAAACTTTGGATGCAACAGACATATCTAAGTAAAGTTGTGCCTTGCTGGCGAAAAGGGAAGATTAATATCCAATAAATTACTTCCCCAAGCCCTGCGTCCTGAATTTCAGTTCTTAATGCGCAATACTGTACTCCATCAAGGAAAATCAATTCATCTTCTTATTTTATTTTTCTCATTATTTTTGATGAATGTGTTTTTATTTTCACAAATGTCTCAAAGGTCTTTGCATGTTATGAAATTTTAAATATATTATTAATATTTGATTTTTTAAAATCAAAGTCACGGAATTTTCCTCTCTGAATATGTAAAAGTAGAATAGGGTGAAGGATTATCGTTTGAGAATTATTTTGATCCAATCCTTTCTGGAGGCAGTAGAATTAATTTGACCTTTAAATGTCTACTTCAAACCTATGCGTCTCTAAAAACATAATCTGAGTTAGGTAGGGGAGAGCCAAATCTCTGCTAAAATGGGACATAATCCATACAGTAGGTACTGAATTAAGAGATAAAGTATCCTTAATTAAAAAAATTGTAACCAGATCAAAATTAGAGATAGTTCCTTCTTTCCTTTTCACAGTTCCTTCTACTTTTAGGGTCCAGTAATGAATACGTTATAGGGCTGGTTGACAGAATATGGATAGCTTTTCAATTTGAATCTTACCTCATGATCCTAGGATCTATTTTAGTTTGTCTACCTTATTTCTTCATCTATTAAATGATGGAAAGTTTATTCCTTTTCACCCTTTATAGCAGTATAATGTGGTGGAAAGAACTTGAGTTTTGAAGTCAGGGATACCTGAATTTGGGGGTTAATTTTTCATCTTAATATCTGGGTAATAAAAGGCAAATTCCTTAGCGTCTCAGAGTTTTATTTTACTCACTGTAAAATGAAATAATTATATTTTGATCTCAGTTTTATTATGACGGTTTATGAGATTACGTATGTACATCACGGACGTACAGTAGATGCTCTGTAAACATCAATTTCCTTCACCTAATCTTCCTTCTCTTAGATCATTGCATCTGACAAGGGTTTATGATATTGAACAATAAGGCTAACACGTCTATAGCACTTACGAGGGCTTAGGTAATCTGCTAAGAGTTTGATATATTTTGTTAACTCATTCAATCCTCATAACGACCCTAAGAAACAGATGATATTATTATCTCAGTTTTACAGTGAAGGAACCAAGTACAGAGAAGTTAAATAACAGAACTGAGGTCACAAAGCAAGGAAGCAGAGAAGCTATGGGTCTGAGCCCAGGTCGTCTGTTTCTTAGGCCCCAGATTTAGCCACTAGCCTCTGACGCCAGTAACGAGCCTGGCTAACCTGACGTGGGCGGGCCTGATGGTAGTTGGAAGGCCCTTTGAAAACTTTTGTCCAGCGCTACCTGAACTATTTGAACACACATAGTGTTCTTGGGGAAATATGTTTGGGAAACATTACTAAATCGATTTATTTGTTGTAAACGTTTTTCAGAGCGTCTCAAGGAGGCATTTGATACGTGAACGCATATTGCAAATCTCTAAGAATGTGCTCTGTGTGTGCGTGTGAAATTCAGTGATACCCCCAGATTATTTGACCGCACAAGTCTTTCAAGAAACACTTAATAACACTTCTGAGGTGCACAGTTTAACACCTATGAATACAATCCAACTGTCTCCTTTCTTGGATGGGGACGTGGATACGCACCGGTAGGATGGAACTTGCTCTCACCGCAGACAGAGATGGGATAAGACTCAGGCCTTTGCTTTCAGATCCAGCGCTCTGGCCACGATACACCATGTAATGGTGCCCTAGGTAAGGAACCATAGTATTATTTTCCAATATTCCTGCCTCATTTATTTGGTACATTGACTTGAACTGACATGTAGCTTTACATCATAATATTTTAGTTTTTTAAAAAGCAGGCAGTGTTACTTCAAGGTGCATAATCACCGCAGCAGCTTATGATGGTGTGATTTTCCTCTCATTCCTGCTTCTGGAGCTCGTAAAAGTCAGACATCAGGCTCAGGGCTGGAACTTGGTTGGTTATCCTACTCTCAAGTGCCTAGAGGTCACATCTCTAAAGCGCTCTTTAGAGAAGTGGGTCATACAAATGAAACAGCTTTGAAACATGATTCTAAAATCTCTGAAATATTTTTAACCCGACCAGACGTTTGAATATGACACTAGACTATCTAGCAAACAAAGGGTGTCATTGTCATTTTAACGATAAAAGGTGAATTCTGGGTAGGGGGTGGATTGGTAAATGCAGGCAGGACAAATTACAAAGTGATATGAATAGAATGACGGTAGCTCTCATAATACTGGAAATCCAAATTCCTGAATATTAAAGAACAGTGGAACTTGATTTGAATCGGTAGCCACCATCTCCCTGTCCTTAATTTAGGGAGAAATTATTTCAAGGGAAGGACAATACACTGAAGCCAATTTTCCAGTGCACCCTAATTCTCTGTAACGATAATGCATTTCAGTGGAGTCACTTGAGAATCTGTTGAGGATCCTTAGTGGTCAAGTGAGGTTTTGGTGATACAGGAAACTCAAAGTTTCAATGTTGGAGAATCCTGTGTTGTCATTCTAATTTTAGGAGAGTAAACACTTACATTAAAGATTGAATCAATCAATCAATTAAACCCATGAAAACAGGACACAGGAAAGATCTTGATTTCTGGAGGAGCGAATCTGAATAGGAGACGAGGATAATCCCCTGTCCCCCATTCTTCTCCTGTAATCACAGTGGGTTTACAGATGTTTCTCTGCAGCTCCAGTGGGCAACTGGTTCTGTAACCGCCTGCAAGCAAGGCCGTGCGGAGCCTGTTTAAAATGATATATTTGATATGCAAATGAAATGCAAAGGCATAAAAAGGAGCAGGCTGATAAGACTCAAGGCCAATTTCAAGTGAGGGTCACTGTGGGGGGATAAACAATGATCAAATTCATGAATTAGATTTCTGTTTACCCTGCCTTTGTCAAAACTAAATATTTATTCATTAAACCAAGCAAGGCTGGTGTGTACAGATGAGCAAATTAGCACATCAAAACCTTGGATAAGAATTCGTGGGAATCATAGGCCAGGGGGAGGAACCTGGGAAAAGAAATAGACACTGGAGTTTACAGGGTTTCTTTTTGATATTAATCAAGTAATATCCAGGTGATCTGCTACATCTGAGCCAAAAACGTCACCTAACAAAATTGCTGTTAATTAGCCTGGAATAAGTTTTAGTTTCTTTTATTGGCAGGATTGATGACGGTAAATGTATAGAAAATGATGGTAGCAAATTTGTTGTAACAGCAAATTTCAACTCACCAACTCTTGTAAGAGTATAGCCAACGGACAACAGAATCTTACACAAACGTGGTGAACTTGGTGAAACTACTATCTATGGCTAGTCCCTCACTTTTACCTCCGCGGGATTTTCTTAACTGTCCAGTTCTGGAATTTCAGAGTTTGCTCTTCTGCCCGGCTTCCCTCAAACTTTAAACTTTTAGTAAGAAGTTCCGCAGATATATTTTTCCAAAGTGCCCTGGTGTACTCACAGCAGGGTGATAAAGGGTTAAGTAGGATTTACATTTTTATGGGGGACCTCACCACCACCATCTTTTCTCCATCCTCATCCCTGGCAGCCGTTACCACATTTCTTCTGCTGCGGGCAACTCCCCTTGCTTCCCTTTACAATCATTGCAAGTTTCTTACTATTTCTTGCTCCCTATTTCCAGACTTTTCTTTTTGTGTTCCTGGTCACACACAGGCAGCTAGTAGGCAGGCCACCTCGCTCCGTGGGTTTTGATTCCTCATCAGTAAAACAAGCCTCCACTCTTGTGATTCTCAACATTAGCTCTGTATTTAGAATCTCGGGAGAAATTCCGATTTGGGGGTTTTGGGGGTGTGGCCCAGGCATTGGTATTTTGGGGTTTTTTAAAGAAGATTTTAATGTACAGCTAGGGTCAAGCATCACTGAATTTCTAAAGCCTCACTACTCGAAGTGTAGCAAATAATTCCCCATCTCAAACAGCACTTCTAAATATTTTATATATTTATAAAATACTTAAAACATCATTATACGTCTATCTTTAGTCTTTGGCAAGTCCTAAATGATGCTCAACCCCAGATCTTTCCTTTATCCAACTATTAGGCCAATTAACTACAAATTCCCCCAAAATCCCCTTTTGGGAAATTATAAAATTTATCGTTATTTCTATTTTTTTCCAGAGTACTTTTAGGAGTTCTAACTCACCTTCAGTTTATTCTTCTGTGCTATGTGATCCTAGAGAGAAAAGGATTTGGGTGGTTCAGGCCAAGAAAGAAATAGTAAAAGAGAGAAAAGTTTGTACTCTTATACGTTCTTAGAGAAAAGTAGTGTTTGAATATTAAAGCTCTCCAGGGTGTGGAGATGTAAAAACTGCATGCATATGTGGAGCTGTTATAATTCTGACAACCTAGGAGAAAAACACACAGCTTTGCACACATTTTCTGAGATTAAGAGAGTGGGGGGCTTTTATAGTCGTTTTCGTATACCTGACTAGGACCCTGGGTCCTGGAATAAAAAGTATAAATGACGGTTGAAAACGGTTTCTCTTTTTACTCTTATCAGAGCTGAGAATGATTGAGAACCAACTTTTTCACGTTTTGATAACTCGCTGCCTAGGTGTTATAAATAGAGGGGAGAAAAGGTAGGTTATGACTCAAGTCAACATTTAAATCTTAATCTCACAGGCTTAGATCAGTTTTATGTGGGGTCTGGGACTTGAATTGAAATGAGTATTCCTCGTTAGGGAGCGGTGGTGATCTCTAAGAGACAGGCTTCCAAACGTAAACCTAAGTGGCTTTGTGGTTTGGGCCTGTGGTTAGGCAGAAAAAAAAGAAAAATCTTCCCCCCAGCCCATGTATTTACTTCCTGATCCCTGGAACCTGTGAACATGGCCAAAGAATGAATGTGACCTTCTATTGCAAAAGATGTGATTAAGTGAAGGATCTTGAGAGGAGGAGTTTATACCGGATGAGCCAGGTGAGCTCTAAATGCAATCATGTGTTTCTTTTTTTAAAAAAATTTTTTGTTTAACGTTGGAGTGTAGTTGATTAACAATGTTGTGTTAGTGTCAGGTGTACAACAAAGTGATTCAGTTATACATATACATGTATCTATTCTTTTTCAAATTCTTTTCCCAACTAGGTTGTTACAGAATATTGAGCAGAGCTCTCTGTGCTATAACCTGGTTGGTTATCCATTTTAAATATAGCCGTGTGTACATGTCAGTCCCAAACTCCCTAACTATCCCTTCCCCTTCCCTTCTCCCCTGGTAACCATAAGTTCCTTCTCTAAGTCTGTGAGTCTGTTTCTGTTTTGTAAATAAGTTCATTTGTATCATTTTTTTGTTTTTTTTAGATTCCACGTGTAAGCGATATCATACAATATTTCTCTTTCTCTGTCTGACTTACTTCACTCAGTATGACAAACTTTAGGTCCATCCATGTTGCTGCAGCCACTGTGGAGAACAGTATGGAGGTTCTTTAAGAAGCTAAAAATAGAGCTACCATATGATCCTGCAATCCCACTCCTGGGCGTGTGTCCAGAGAAAAACCTGGTCCAAAAGGATACATGCACCCAAATCGTGTGTTTCTTTATGACAGAAGCAGGGAAAGATGAGATGGAGACCCACACAGATGAGAAAGCAACGTGGAGATGGAGGTGGAGATTCCACAGCGCCCTACCTAGGCCAGTGCATTGGTTTGCTAAAACTGCCATAACAAAATAGCTCGGACTGAGTGGTTTAAACAACAGAAATGTCCTGTCTCACAGTTCTGGAGGCTGGAAGTCCAACATGAAGCGGCCAGCAGGGGTTGGCTCCTTCAGAGCAGGGCTGTGAGGGAAAGATGGCTTCCAGGCCTTTCTCCTTGGCTTGTAGACGGCTGTCTTCTCCAGTGTCTCTTCACATTGTCTTCCCTCAATGCCTGTCTGCCTTTGTGTCCACACTTTCCCTTTATAGAAGGACACTAGTCATATTGGATTAGGGCTCGCCTTAATGACCTCACTTTAACTTGACGACCCATGTAAAGACCCTCTCTCCTCTCTGAGATTGTAGGGGTTAGGACTTTTTTTTTTTTTTTTTTTTTTTTTTTTGTGTTACGGGGGCCTCTCACTGCTGTGGCCTCTCCCGTTGCGGAGCACAGGCTCCGGACCCGCAGGCTCAGCGGCCATGGCTCACGGGCCCATCCGCTCCGCTGTATGTGGGATCCTCCCAGACCGGGGCACGAACCCGTGTCCCCTGCATCGGCAGACGGACTCTCAACCACCGTGCCACCAGGGAAGCCCTAGGAGTTAGGACTTTAAGATATCTTTTTTCTGGGGAGGGAGGGACACAGATCAACCATAACACCTGGTACCTGGAGAAGCCTTAGAAGGACAGTCCCTGTTGACCTCTTTGCTCATCTTCTTGCCCGTGTCTGTACATACCGCCTCCCATTGTCTGTCATCTCACTTCTCCCTCTGCCTCCAGTGGAGCTAGAGTCATCGAGGCCATAGATAGACTGCATCAGACGGCTCATGCTCAACTGGATGCATTAATTGTAAATGTCTGCTGGAGGTCTTAGGTCTTGTTTCCTTGATGATTTAAATCATTCTGGAGAGGCAGTGAAGACGGATGATTTGGGGAGGGAGTATTTGCTGGATGTTGGTGAAGCAATATATCTACATTTTAGGAATATGGCAGTGAGGATCAAATGAGAAAATCTGTCTAATCAAGGCTTCATATTCAGCAAGAGTGAGAAGACTGGCTAGAGGTATGGGGTAAAGAG